TCATAAGATCAAGGCAAACAAGCATTTGCTATATAAATATTTTCTTATAATTAGCCGGAAACCGAAACGGAACCGAAAACGGACATCGAGGCTCAATCACGATATAATACAGAAAAAAAACAAACCCGCAAAAAGTTCATTTGCAATGGGACACTGAAAATGTATGGCTTAGCCCCAAAAAGTTGGTCGTTGCCATTATGTGGGCGGCAATAAAAGCCATTTTAATTGGTTCTAAATGAGTGAGGTCCACGCAATTGCACAGACAAGACATAAAATGACGCCCATAAATGTTTTTGGGGGGAGCTTACTACTACGTGGGTTGTGGTCATGAAGGGTTTTTTGGGCAAATAAAAGCCTATATCAGATCGAGGGCACATAGGCCAAATTATTCACACTGATTACATAAAGTCTTGGCATAAAGTAAACCATGCTGAAAGAGTAAACCGTTATAATTACGATGTATTAGATGGGCGGACCGAATGGCACCCCCACCACCCACAACAGGAAACACACACACACATTTATGTACGCCACCATTATATACACACACACAGGGAGCATATGGAGGACACTAAAAACAAATTGGGGGTCCAGAATGGCACGGGGCTCAAGATAAAACGAAAATAATCAGCAGGCAGTCAGGCCGAAGGACTCCAATATACATACAAACACACACAGAGAGAGATAGACACTTGCGGAAATCGTAGTGTCATAAAAATAAATAACCCAAGTAGAACCACCATCCCCCCATGTTGATTTAGGATAAAGTAAGCAACAAAAACGAGAGCTCTTCGATGGCAATTTAAATAAATAAGAACGAGCCTACGAATATCTATCCAGGACATAATTGAAATCACTGGGAAGGAGCCAGGAGAGTTGCCAACGTGATTTGCATGCGTGTTAGTGCGAGCCATCCAGCGAGTGTGTATGAATAATTTATGCGTATTTAATTCGATTGTTGTGGCAGAATCACAAACGCTTTGAAGGACTCCCAGGGATGGAGGTGTCACCTGAGGACTCTGACTCTGAGAGGGGGCCCAACATAATTTAATCATAAACATAAAATAGTTTTGTCATGTTTTATTATTCAACTGAGCACGAGGGGGTAGGGGTCGCTCTTTTTTTAATGGCCTCCATTGGCAAGGACTCCTCTCAGTGACTGTGGTGTCCCTCGTTGTGGCTTTCTTTTTATGACATTTGGCATTTCCCTTCTACTTCAGTCCTTTTGTCTGCCTTTTTATTTGTGGGTCCCGCCTTTTATTGAAATTTTTCTTTTTTGTTTGTTTGTTTAGTTGTTACTGTTGCCAGAACTAAGGTAGCAACCGAGTCCCTGCCTTATCCCTGTTCCACTTTCTATGATTGTTATTTTGCTGCTGCTGTTTCCGTGCATTCGGAAATAAAATAAATAATGACTGCCATTACGGTGCACGTGTTCTGAGAGAGGGGAGCGGGGAGAGAGCTCCAAAAACCCCCGGGGAGAAGTTTTTTTCATGACATTTCTGTGGTTAATTATGGCCAGGTTCTTTGTGGTTATCTGAATACGCAATCAAGGTCCAAAACTGGAAGGGTAAGGGGTCGCGCCCCCTCTCTTTTTTATTTATAGCATATAGTAATACGACTAATGGAGGAGATCTCCTCGAAATAATCCTCAGCCATTCATTGCCTGCACAATTTTCCGCACAATTTTCCCCCGATGTCTCGTAACAAAAGTGTCTCTAATCAATTCCAGCAGGCAACAGAAGAGCTATTCCTTAGCAACAAAAAGAAAACCAAATTAACTCGGAGACAAACTAACCGGCAAAACGAAACTGTCACTTGGCATCAGGCGGTGGAAAAATCGCTGGAAAATGCACGTAGGTTTGTCAAGTTGCAGTCGTGGAAGAAGAAAAAAAAATCGAACGTCCTTGAGTCAAAAGTGCGCTAAACCAGCCAGAAAGCAAAAACAATTTGCAGCCAAATAAGGGACAAGAAAGAGAACATCGCGTGACAACACGAAGGGAAGGAGCACCGCGACTACTGATGAGCAGGAGGAATCCATCTATGAGCCACAGGCGAAAGGATAACCCCGGACGGAAGACGCAGCCAAGCCGCCGGATGACAGCGAAATGAGTAGAAAATTAACAAAACGCACATAGATAAAGTGCATGGAAAAGTAGATGGAAATACAGGTGAACCCGCTTAGAACGAAATGTATTTAATTGAATTTTTTAAAAAGCAAACCTATTTAGCGGGAAATTTGATATCCTTGCATTCCCCTAGAGAGCCCTAGGCTTGCCATTAAGATGTCCCCGTTAAGGACGTCAAACTTCTACCCATAAAATATGCACAGCCGTGGCGGTTGTCAAATGCAAATGCAAATACAAATTTTCGGTATGTAGTTGATGAAGTTTCAGCTGCAACAGCAGCAGGAGCAGCAAAGCTTCCTTGACAGCTACAGGGAAGGATGAAAGGATGGTGAATTGCTGGACGGGTGGGTGAGCACTCAAGTCAACTTGTTAAAAACTTCTTTGCTACTTTGGTCGTCCAAACCGAGCAAGCCAGGGAGCCAGGCAGTCATTTCGAATGCTTTTTTGGAGACTCTTGTTTACCCAAGGCGGTGTCCTCGTTCTATTTCACGTGCTGGCATTTTGTATCGATTGCCTCGACGACGCTCCTTTACCCCCGGAAAAAGGTAAAGGAAAGCCACGAGACGGACACAGGAAGGGATAGGATAGCTGCTACCGAGCGGAAAAGTGCGGTAGGGAGAGAGAAAAGCGTCGAGGTTGAGCTCAGAAATCTTATGCAAATATTATGTTTGCATTTTCCACTTTATATTTAACTTGCCTCACTTCACTTTTTGTTTTCCTTTTCCAACCCAACAACGTCGATGTTCTTTGCGCTTGTTATTGTTGTTGAGACAATATAAAAAAGTCCAACTTGGGGTCGAAAATGACGATGAGGAAACTAAATTGCGAGCGTGGATTGTCACTTGCTACGATTTTAATGAATTCTATTGATTTTACGACAGCCAAAGGAGGCAAAGGTCGTCGAGAGTCCGAGGCAAAAAGGTGGGTGAAAAACTGTCAGTGGTGACGCGGGAAGTAATTTAAATATTGCATAAACCCCACCCATAAATCCACCAAAACGATTACAGGCTATTTTAGAGCCCGTGAAAAAGTATACCTGTGTATTGAGTATTATTAGTGTCCGAAACGAAATTGAATCTGAGATATTTATGGTTTAAGAGCCTTTAAAATGTCTACTACACCTTCTCCTATATAGCATATAAGGAAAAAGGGAAACATTGGGACAATTCCTTTTCAAAAATCAATTATTTCCTGGAGATCTCTACAAATTCCAATCCTTTTAACAAATGAAACAAGGATGAAAGGACCCCACCTTCGACTGGACACCTCAGTGAGTGAGTGAGTGAGCGTGTTTATGGTACACACACACATGGCATGTTCATTATGCCGGACACAAAGATAGTGCCGGGCCTAATTTACAAGTTGCCAGAGCCGACGCCCACGCCCCTGTAATATGCCAGCAAATAGGCCTGTAGTTCGTTGCCGTTGTTAGCTAACACATCTCTTCCAGCATCTCCACATCTCCCGGCCACATGAAGGCGGCGCCAAGTTCATTCAGTTTTGCCATTCATTGATGGCAGAAGCTGCAACGAGCAACAGCAGCAGCAGGAGGAGGAAGCTGCTGCAACAGACTTTTGGCCTCCAAATGGAAATGGCAATACAACAGGGCGGATGAGTGCTGTGTGTGCAGCACTGAGGATCAGCCAAAGTTGAGGAGGAGGAGGAGGAGGAGGGGCCGAGAAAAACGTGGAAACTCTCTGCCACAACTGGCTGTCTGAGTTATTGTGGCTTTTGTACCACACTCTGCCGCAGCTCTTGGTTTTCCCTTGCCATCTGTTCGATGATGGGGCTGCCGCCGCTGTTGTTGCAACTTTACTAGCTGTTGTGGCAGCGTTGACACTTGGCAGCCCAGCCACGTTAGCAGTGCGTTGGCCCGGCCAGGATCTGCTGGCAGCTCAGTTTGTCGGCCTTTTTTTTGATGTGGCCTGTTGTCTGTCGACCTCGTCGTCTTCTTTCTCTCCAGCAGCCGCAACAGCAGCAAATTGCCTGAACAACAAACAAACGACACTCGACGGCTGCGGCAGCGACAAAACGTTGACAGTGCAGACGCCGCCTGGTTGTCTGGCGAGTAACAGCCGGGCAAAGAGCATTTAATTTCATTTTTATTCAAAGTGAAATATACAAATTAAAAATGGCATTTAATGCGCAACATTGTCGCCCGTCATAAGCACTGAGACATGTGAAATGTGGCACATAGCACCGAGGCGTGGGCGTGGCACAAACAGGTGGCATCAGTCGAGTGTGTGTGTTTAATGAGCTCTTGAGTATCTCTCTCGAGTATCGTTAAATGCTTGATTTAATGAGTTCTGGTCTGTGTTGTTTTTTGGGGTTTTGAGTCTGGATTTAGGTGTGTGTGTGTGTGTGGATATGTGCGAGTGTAGACAGCACGTGTGTGTATGTGTGTGTTTAAAGATCGCGAGAATCGGTTAATTAAGGGGTTGCTTTTTGGGGCAAAGGTATAAACAACTTAAGATGATGCACAGCCTAGGATATCACGCATACGCCACGTTCAGCCGCCTCACAACGCTAGCTTAAAATATACATGTAGCCAAAAAATTGGTTGCAAAAGCCAAAAAGGAGTTCTATACAAAACAGGATCACATATCGTTGGCATTCTTTCAGGACTTTTCCAAACTATATATAATATATATATATTTGTTTTACACAAAAAGCAATTAACTCTCCGTGTTTTTCTTTCTCTGTGTGTGTTCGTTTCCAGTGTGTGTATAAATGGTGTCTGTGTGTGTTTGGTGTTTGTGGGCGACATTGTGTGTGGGTGTAGGGTGCTCGAGTGTCGATGTATTCGGTGCATTGCTTATAGACTAGTTTAGAAGAAGGTAGTAAAAAATTTGAACGCACTTGGTAGAATCTCACCTGTGCTCAGCGTATAGTCCCAGCTGGTATCGGGCTCATTCTTATATACGTTTAACTTTTCCGGCTGTAAGATTGTATAGCATTTATTTAACTTATATATTTAGGGATTGTTTTTATACACTCTCACCTTGGCATAGTCAATTTTCAAGGTGCAGCATCCAGCATAGATATCAGCTCCATTTAGATTCTCACGCGCCCTTGTGGCTGCATCTAAATTATCAAACTCAACCATGGCCTGAACGCCATTCTTTTTGAATATGACAATGCGCAGCACTTGGCCATGTGGATGACAGATTTTGTGCAAGACATCCTGAAATTAATTGAAAACAAAACGAGGAATTAGAAAGGAATAAAAAGGATGCACTGAACGAAAGGGAGAAGTTATAGATCCAAAAGTTATACTTCTAAAGCTTCTTATTTAATAATATTTAGAGTAATATAATAAAATACTTATAGAAGTAAATACTTTAATAATTTCCAAAAAGGTCCTAGAATTCATTTAATTTTCTGTGCAATTCTTTTGGTTGTACAACAAACAGGTGTCACAGCAATAACCCTAGCTTTCCTAATTGATCAAAGCCAGCTGAATGAAGGTGTGGTTAATTGGAAATGAATGATTTTCCCAATCAATCGTTCACTCATCATTTTCCAATTGACCAACAGCAGCAAGACATTCAAAGCTGTTGTGGTGGACAATTTCACTTCGTTTACTTGCCATTTTATTTAGGTGTTTTGTGCATTTGTCTCTGGCATAATTGGAATTTCTCATTCGACAGGGAGGAGGGAGAGTTCCTGGTCCGTGTCAGCTGTGTGAAGCTCAAGAACTCATTAGCATAATTTAATAAGCACTTTCTGCTGTACTATGCCAAAGAAATTTCCCAATTAACATTCATAAATTTTCGGAAATTACGTTAATGAGTTTCGAGTGTGCCTGCCGTTGGCCTGTCCTGCCAGGAGCACCAAAAGCCAGGGCGTGTCAAGTCTAGGCCAACAAGAATGAAATAAGAAGAATACCTCTCTCTGGAAGCGTCTGGGAATTGATGGCAAATTATAATGAGCATTGGCCGTTGGCATGGAAATTTATGGAAAATTTAAGCCGCCAAATTTTCCTTTACCACGCTCCACAGAGCTCTTCCCCCTGATATCTGCCAGCAACTTCTATTTATTCATGTTCGCAGCTCCTTCAGGAAAGTCTTCCTTCCTCGTGAAGGAGGCTGAGTGGGGTTGTCTTAGAGGCTGTAATGGGTTAAATGTTCAATTTGTTGTTGAGAAAAAGGGGGAAGTACCAAAGCGGCTTTTGTTTTTGCCTATTTTTCTTTTGCTTCCTTTCGGTTAGCAGCAATATTTTGTTATTCATGAAATTCATCGATAAGTCCTCTGGCTCATGAAATTTTGAATCTTGTTGAAAACTTTTAACATTGATTTGCATTAGACTTTCGGGTAGAAGGAGGCGGAGGCCAAGGGTAGCCACTTGATTAGACGAAATTCCATCAAATTTTCAATGGCCTATGCAAATAAACCCCAGTGGCAAAGTTTCGAATGAGGGATGAATGACTTTTGGTCGTTAAGATTTTGAAGTGTTGCGTGGTTTGAGCAATAATGGTTGTTTTTTATGGTCTCAGCAGAGAGAAATCAAGACTTTGTGATGCTTGTTAGTAATTAATTGGTTATTAAGCCATTTAAAATTAGGTTTAAATCATTTTAAAGCTGTAATTTATTATATAGGCTAACTGCAACTTTCTCCACATTTCCTTCTATAAATCATTTCAAAAACTTTTTCAACAAATTTTCCATGCGGATATCCATCTGAAATTTATGGAAATAATATATTTGCTCTCCTGCAAAAGGATCATTATCATCTTTCACCCCGTTTCTACCACATCATGTAACTGATAGCCATTGTGTGCGTACTATTACTTAATTATTAATGCAGCTGCTAGTTTCCTCCACTTCCTGCTTGTGTCTCTCTCTCTCTCTAGATACATAATTTTTTGTTCATTTTTTTTTCAGCATAGTTCGCACACACTTAACACTTTCCTCGAAGCCTCTCCGCCCTTCTTCCCTATCTTCACTATCAACCGCAAAAGTTTTCTAATTAGTTTTTGTGAGCACAGTGCGCTTTATAGTTGTGCATTCTGTCCATGGAAATGCAGGAAAAGCGAAGTGTGCAGGGGAAGTGGACGGAAAGTGTGAGCTGCTAAAAAGGAAGTAAAGTAGAATTACAACAAAAAGGCAAAAAAAAAAAAAAAAAGAAATAGAAAAGCAAGAACAGCGGGGAAAATACGTTCTTCCCTTTGGTATCCAGGAATGACATTTTACAATTCGTTGGGAGGAGAGAGAGAGTGAGCTGCATTTAATGCGATTTGCCCAGAGGTCCTGCAGCAGGACAAGCATCACAAATGGGAAAAGTCAACGGAGAGCTGCTGAGAAGGAAAGCAGGAAACTCGGCGACTGTCGCTCGATGGCGCACAAAATGTCTGCAATTATTGTAAATAGCGCAATCATCGAGCAAGTCAAGAGAGCGTCAAGCGACAAGCTTCGCATCCTGACAGACCAGCCGGAAAAGGCGACAGGAGGGTCGGGAAAAATTACTCCTGTTTATGAGATCAGCTTATTGAATAAATGAGGCGCGTGCTCCACCATTTGCTCCCATTCGTTCTCACTCTTTTCCTTCTTCTGATGGCCATTGGGCATATGAAAGGAAAGGATATTCAAGGGACTGACTGCCCACTCATTGTTTGCCGGTAATTCGAGTCCATTAGGTGAATGCGAATGGAGCTCCAGAGACGAGAAAGGAGGAGGAGGGTCGCTGAGTGATGGGAGCTGATTAGAGCAGCAGCTCCTCGGGGAATCACCAACGTTCTGGGAAAGTGTCAGCTCTCGAGGGCACTCGATTGATAAATTGAACAGAGCTCTGTGGGGATTTACAAGACATGTTTGCATTTCCTAAGGTATTTGCAATAAGAATTAACTAAAATTACATTTATTTCCTGCTTTTTTAGGTATTTATTAAATATATTGAGTTATTAAATGTATCCACTATATTATGGATTTATTTTTAAAGATTTAAAACAATTCAATGATCAAAATTAAAGACATTAAACAATTGCTATTGAGACTGAACCTTAGCAACATTGCGGCTGTGTTGCCAGCCAACAGATGTTCTGCAACATGTTATTAGCTAAATTTGCCTAACAACATGTTCCTGTGTATTTTGCAGTGTGAAGGAGTCATTTCCGACCCCTTAAATCATATATATTCTTGATCAGCATCGTCAGCCGAGTCGATCTAGCTATATACGGTTAAAAAATAAAATTTTTGAATTTTTCATAAAATGACAAGGGGTTACATCGTTAAAATTTAAAAAAATGGGAAAAAATTAAAAATTTTTAAATTATAAATTGAGTATGCAAAAATGTTAACCTAATAAAAAGTAACATAGAAAAGCTTTTTGAAATAAATATAAAGCTTTTTTAACCAAGTTGTGAGTTTTTTAAGGTTTGATTTGTCGGAAAAACTGTCTTATAAAAATATCAATAAATATGGTCAAAGAAATATACTGTAAAACAACTGCAAACTGCAAGGGTAGTTTCCTTTCTCGTTTTTGTATTTCTAAAAGTCTCTAAAAAGTTTCCTCATTCCATAAAATTAAATGCGTAGTAAAGCAAACTTAAAACCTTATAACAAAACATGATATTAACATTTTAATTGATGGTAAGCTTAAAAAAAACACTTAAAATCCTGCAATAATCGTTAAAACATTCATTTCGCCTTAAGATCTCTCTAATTTTCACCAGAGCAAATATATTTTCATTTTATTTTTTGGGAAATCAGAGTACAAGCTGGATGCTGGACAAGACTGAGGGAAAGCAAATAATAAAAGTTCAACATTTTCACGAGCTGTTGAAATTAAAAAACTAATCCACAAGAAGGCGAGAAATAAAAATGCAAGCTACAAACGCAGCAAAATCCAAATAAAATACAAGAAAAAAAGAAAAACAAATAAACCGCCTCGGAATGAAAGTATTAATAAACCAGTGGGCGAGGACGGAAAAGGGGGCGCGTCAGCTATAGCTTTTCCGGGGGATATATGTATGTAGGTATATATGGCTGGACATTGGGGGGTGGAGCCTGAAACAGTTATTTAAAAATAAGAGCTGAGCTTGCCAGGACGTTGGCGATACATAAGTAAAATTTTATGCGCACTATATAACTTGTTCGACGGCAGGAAACCCAAAAGAACAGGACCCGTTGGAAGGACAGTCGACCAGAGCGCGGGAAAAATAAATTAATATTTTATCTAGAGCAGAGATTCGCATGCACTGGCCACGCCCACCATCCACACTCCACCACCCACCACCCACCACCCACAACCATGCATTTTGTTTTGCCATTTTATGGCCATCATCAAAAGCGCATTAAAATTTTACTAAGGCGTCATGCCGCTGGGGTTGGATGCCACCAAAGGGCCAGAGAGGGAGCGAGTCTGCCAAGGGGGCTGATTGTCCAGGCGTGCTAAATATTAAATCAGCGCAATGCCAGCACAAAAAATAATAATAAAAACACAAACAACAAAAAAAAACTGGAGAAGGAGAAGGAGAAAAGCCAACGGAGGAAGTATATACCGGGCAAACATTTTAAGCGGCTTTCCGCAGGTCCCATCAACGTCCTGTTTCATCCATATCACAAAGGACACCATAATGCCGGCTAAGGGGGACATTGCTACGAAATCGCATTAAATATTAATAATAATGTGTGCTTAGTTGCAAGATATCAATCCATTTTGTGGTCAGCTTTTGTCCTTTGATTTTCTCACTTTTACGAGGCTTACAATTTACCAGTTGGAAATTCGAGGGTAAAAACAATGAAAGCATTATCCTGGAATTCCTTGAAACGGAAACAAAACAATAAAAATGGGGAAAGATAAGCTTGGCTATATGGATTTTAATACTCTTTCAACGAATTGTTTTAAATTAAAAGGAAATACATTAAATGGTTTGGAGAAAATATATATTTATATATATATTTATTAAGAGTTTCATCTTTCTTTATATAATTGTTTTATGAACTTTTAACTTCTCAATACGTAAACAAGAACTTCTAGTAATTGAATAGTATTATATTCTTCTAATTATTATTTAAATAAAATCTTAGTGCCAAGACTTTACCAAGATTATCCCTGAAATAAAACCAAGAACCAAGGCAAAGTTAAGCCTTGAGGATTCTCTTTCTTTCAAACTTTTCTTGGCCCAAGGATTTGTGATCAATTGTTATGATTTTGCTAAAAAGAAAAAACTGGAAGTCATTGAA